AAAAAAAGTGAAAAAAAATCAGAAAAACAATATGATGTGTAAAATTGCAATGCAAACAACTTTGGGCCGAGGGTCACATCAGAATTCCTCACCGAATCGAGGATAAAAAAAAAAATAAAAAAAATCACACTGAAGGACCCCATTTAACCCCTCTTAGTGCCTTTAAAAATAATATATACCCTCCTTTCCCCCCCTTGATAGCCAACTCTCAAAAAATGAAACAATCCCGACTTTGGGGTCCTCTGGGAGAGTGCAATTTTTTTTATTTTTATTTTTTTCACGCCCGTGCACCTCGGGCGTCAGACCCCCCCGGACGTCATGCCCAGGTGCCCGGCCGGGCATGAAAAACTACCTAGACATATATTAAAAAAATAAAATATTCATAAGGAACAAATTATTGCACATTATAAATTTATCATTTTAGACTATAAGACTTTCGATATTCGAAGTATATAAAATATGTATTTATTTAGGCTACTAGCCGGGCCGCCCGGGTCCCGGGTCGCCAACCCGTGAAAGGACCAAGGAAGATCCCAGCAAAAGAAAAAAAAAATAAAATAAAAAAATCCGAAAATAAACTATATTATGCAGAAAAATAAAATTAATAACTTTTGTCTGAAGGTCGTATCGAAATTCTTCATCAAATTTAGAATAAAAAATAAATTTTAAATTGTTTATTTTTATTTTTATTTTTATTATTTTTCTTTGCCCGGCGGGGCAAGTGACCCAAGGCCACTCTGGTAGTTTAAATATTTATGCATATGTATACATACTGTGTAGCACACCGAACATGTTCGGAGTTTTTCCAAACATCTCCGAACATGTTCGAATGTTCGGCCGAACGTCTTTCGAACGTGTTCAGCCGAACATATTAAAAAAAAAAAAAAAAAAACTTTGGTTTTTGTTTTTCGATATTTAACTCGACTTTGGTTACGAATTGTAGCATACATCCCAGACAAAAGTTGTTTCTATTCAGCGTAACCGGCGTTCGGGACTGGCCGAACGCCCGAACGTATGGGACCCCTTAGGGATGCGTTCGGCCGTTCGGGCCGACCGCAAAAAAAAAAATAAAAAAAATATAAAAAAAATTGTCATTTAAAAAATCTGAAAAAATGATATCTGATGGAAAACAATAAATTAAACAAGATTTGCCTGAGCATTACATCCAAATTTCTAACCAAATTTGAAATAAAAATAAAATACCGCAAACAAATACTAATAATAAAAATAAATCATAATAAAAAGAGAATTAAATTTAGTGAGTGTGCGAGCATGTTTTCGACACCTCCGTCTTTGACGATTTTTCATTTTTTGTTGGTACGGCGAAATACCCTAAAAATTTACAGATGTGTACTTCATATAATAGAAAACCCACTAAAAAAGTTTCAAAAAATAATGAAATTGTTTAGACCCCGAACTAAAGTGAAAACAAAAAGTAAAAAGTGAAAAAAAACGTGGGCGAGCACGTTTTGATACACCCATCTTTGGCGATTTTTAATTCTTATTTGAATCATCCAAATAACTTGAAAATTTAAAATCATGTACCTCACGTCATAGAGAACTCAAAAAACAAAATTCAGAAAAAAAAAAATAGTTTTAGGCCCCGAAATAAGTTCTGGCGGGGGCCGAACGACATCGGGTTCGGACCTCGTACAGGACCCCGAACACCCGTAAGTACAGAGGTCTCCCCGGGGACCTCCGTACGTACGGGTTGGTGAACCTGTTTGTATTATTATTTTACATAACATATTGTTTTTTTCATATTTTTATGAGGACTTTTTTTTTTTTTAATGTTCACGTTCAGATGGTTTTGGGGCTCGTTCGCGTTCGGTCGCGAACGTTCGAACCCAAACACGAGGCTACACAATATATATATTAAATATTTATATGTAATAATGTTTAAATTTTAATATTTATAAATAAATATCTATCTACTAGGCTACCAGAGGGTTTCAAGACCACTTGTCTAATCGGGCCCGAAAAAGTTAAAAATAAAATAAAATAATATATAATATTTTATTTTAAATTTTGAATTTGGTAAACAAATTCAATGTGCCCCAGGGGGAAAGTAGTTCAATTTAATTTTCTACACAACATAATTTTTTTTATAGATTTTTTTAAGGCTGGTTGTCAGGGCGCCCGAGCATCCAACATGTGCTCGGGTACACCCCCGGACACCCGGTCGGGTATGACCCCCGGGCAGGGTTCCAAGGAGTCTCGGCACAAAAAAAAAAAAAAAAAAAAAAAAAAAAAAAAAGTTGTGTAGAATTGAAATACACAAGACTTTTGATTGAGCGTTACATTACAATTCCTCCCAGAATCGGAGATAAAAAAAATAAAATAATAGAATCACACAAAACCAATTTATACACCCTCTCCTCCCCCTTGAAACTCACCCACAAAAAGTCAAATAACCCCGGATTTTGGTTCCTCTTAGAGAGCGCAAAAAATAAAAAACAAAATTACAGCACGCGTGGGCGCCACTACTAACGGAGTCTCGGTTGAGGTGCTTTCCTTTAGCTACTTAGATGTTTCAGTTCGCTAAGTCAACTTCATTGCGGTTTCCCGATAGGAAATCCATGGATCAAAGAGAGCTTCTCCCCATGACGTTTCGCCTTTCATTGTGTCCTTTCTTTCTCAATGCCAAGGCATCCACCCAACGCATTATTTTGGATATAGAAGGGCCCTTCGCTAATTCTCACTTTTGTTTTATATCATATAATAGACTGATAGAGCCTAAGGTGGCACGCTCGTCAGTCAGGGCGTGCCGTATGTCGGTCGCCTTATCTTATCTATATCTAATATATCGGAACAATTAGTTAGAACTTCTCTCCATCCAATAGAGATTGGTGGAAGATTGGCGGGCACGATATTGTGCAAGTTCTAGTTTAAGACTACCGCACACTTGTTTCATAGCTTTCAATTGAGCTGCATAACCTACAGGACTTACAGACAATCCTACATTAATAGCAGGTCACATTCCAAGATAAAACAGTTCTGTTTCTAAAAAGATTTGTTCGTCCGTAATGGAGATTACATTTGTAGGAATATAAGCAGATACAGCTTCAACTTGTGTTTCGATAATAGGGGTGTCTAGTTAGGAAGGACCGGTCGGGTGTAAGAATCTTTCTATGATTTTATTTTTTTTTACTTTTTTTAGACCTTGCCTAGTTTTTGCACAGTCGGTCCGCACGAGAAAACAAGGTGACTCGGGTGGTCCGACTGGTAGCCTAGTATTTATATATATTAAAAAAATATATTATAAATATATTATAATCAGGGCTACTAGTGTTGTCCGGGGTCACTTCCCCAGTCGGGCCAAAACAACTTAAAAAAATAAAAATAAAAATAATATCTTTAAATTTTATTTTGTATTCTAAAATTGGTGACGAATTTCGATGTGACCCTTGGGTAAAAGTTGTTCAATTAAGTTTTCTGCATAACATAGTTTTGTTTTGGATTTTTTGAAT